TCCATTCTGACTGGGACTGATGGGAGGTGAGGCCACCAAGTGGGGGGAAGCTGCCTTGGAGGAGCCAGCCTTGCTGCAGGCTAGTGTGGCTAGAATGGTCCTTGGCTCTGTTCTGGCCCAGCAATGAATTGATGGTAAGCTGAGATCCTGTCATCTGTATTTCCTCACTTTTCTTTCACTGGGCATTGCAGCATAAATGGAAATCCAGGTGATAAGCCTAAGCACATGTCCTTCTGAGTTACTGTGCTTAGGAGCCTGCCGCACAGCTCTTTCCTACTGCCCAAGGAGGTTGAGGTATGCCTGATTCCCCATGTCTGACTCATAAGTTCCCAACATGTTTTCCATCTAGAAATTCCATTTTCTAGAGAGCGAGGAAGAAGAGTGCTAGCAAACCAGCATCACGATGGAGGAAAGACAGCCATATAAGATGCAATTTAAAGCAGTTTCTGCTCCACTGCCAGTGGAACTGAAATGGCTTACATTGAAGAAAGTTGGTTTATTGGTCTCATACACTGGGCTACAAATAAAGCCTGGCTTGGAATTTAAGGCTCATTTGTGAAGTACACCATGAGAATTGGTATGTGATCAAAGTGATTGTGCTTGCAGAGGTTTAAATCCCCTCTGGCTGCCCGCACCCCAACTATCTGGGCATCTTCCACATATACCCTTGCAAACATATATTCTGTTTTCCAGCTCTGCATTTCAGGACTCTAGTTCCGATCTGAGTGTGTTGGTTTGTGGATCAGGTGATCAGTTTCCCTAACCTGTTTCCCTTCCCCCCAAAAGTGTGGTAAAGAGACAGTAGAGCACCCAGAAAGAGAGTGAGTGCTCACAGCTCCCTTTTGTTTAGCAAACACGTCCTGGAGATCTTGACAGTGCTATCATTTACCCTGCTATTTGTTTAAACTTCTGAAATCAAAATTAATGGGAAGGACAAGTTTCTATAAAAATACAGGGGACTTAAATGATGTTTGTTTTCAAAATACATGTGTAAGTGGCTAGGCAAGTTGTTGTGGGCACATAGGGGTGGATAAAAAGGCCAAGGGGCTGCAGTGCAAGATAACGTCTCTTCTCATTGACTAGGGGAGCCATTCAAGAAACGGAAGAGAGGTGAAGCCTGCAGGTTTGGAGAAATTCACTTTAGCCTTTGATTTCTTCTCACTTTCTCAACTGCAGGGGTGGGGTGGGGACACAAGATGCCTTGTGGGAAGTAGCACTGAGGCTTTTGGGCAACCTTCCTCAATGGGGATCAGATTCCTCCAGGTATTGAGGAATCTGACGGCCATTATCCCCAACAAGCACAATCACATTGGTTGCTGATGGTGGGACTTAACTCCAACACAATCAGGTTGGGAAAGGCTGCTATAGATGACTGAGACCTGAGAAGAAAGGCATGTGCTACAAGCCCCGCTCTTTGCACGAGACAGCGCCTCTTTTCTGGCAACTGTCCTTGGTAAAACCCAGCCCTCAGGTCGTCTTGACTTTTGCCTTTGAAGGAGCTGCTGGGCCACCTTTGTGTGTAAAAAGCTCTTCAGAATCCAGCCCCTTCAGGTCTCGCCAGATTCAGGTTTTGAGCAGGGTGTTTGTGTGTGTGTGTGTGGTCTGCTGACTGACATCTCCTCCTTCAGACACTATTTGCAGGGGGAAGGAGTTCTGTCTACAGCAGCAGACGGCTTCCATGTGGGCGCTTGTCCCAGGTTGTGAGCCTTGGATTGGGAGCAAGTGCTTCAGTGCCATAAGTGCCTGATGTTTGTCGCTGTGATGCCGAAAGCTGTAGGTTGTCAGCTCTACATGCCTGTGCTCTGTCTCTGGGGAACTGGAACCGCATTCCTAGCAGTGAAGCGAATCCTTCACTCGGCAGTCTGTCCAAATGCAGGGTGGTTAGAAACCTCAGACCTGACTTGTGGGCTACTGATGTTTTGCACAGTGATTAGAAATCAAAATCCTCTGAGTTAGACTCTACTGAAAATCTAATGCAGAAATAAGAAAATTGGATTCCTCTGATGCAAGAAAGGAAGGATGAACATAGTAATTTTCCTTTTCAAAAATTCAATTTGTGACAAATAATGAAGATATCATCCTAGCATTTTTATATAGCATTTGCAAATGTTCAGGATGTCTCACATGCATTATCTAGCTTTAATCCTCACAACAAACTTGCAAGGTAAGTACATATTATTTTCTCCCCCTCATTTGCAAAGCTGGGGCTGAGCATGAATAGCTTGCCTAAGACTGCCTTGCAAGTTTGTGGTAGATGCAAGATTTGAACCTGGGGCATCCTAATTCATTGCTCAGTCTCTTTAGCCACTGCACTGTTCAAGCTGTGCAGAAGAGCTGTGACACAAGTTGAAGCATTAGCAAATATCTGTGGAACAATACCAATCAATTATTTGAATACTGCAGGAAGGTGCTCATCCCTGCCATGAACAATGTCCTCCACATCCAGCTGGAGATTCATCTAGGAACTTGCAAAAGAAATTTTAATGTACTGGACATTTAAAAGACAAGAACAAATTGCCATTCAACAACTTAGAAGTCCCCTCCCATGTGATCACAAATATTACAAAAATGTCTAAACAAAATGGGAAAGCCCCGAATGCAATTTTGTTTGTAGCCACAACATCCAGTTCAAGATGGCAATGCAGCCTTTCTGAAGGAAAAGACATGTTATGTTAGGCATGTGGTCATAACTAGAAAAGACAAAGGAAGCATGGAATGTAGGTCACAAGATATTATCTGGGAAGTAGTAAGGCAAAAGGTTTTGTGCTGGCTCCTAAGGGAAGGTGGTTTATCTAGAGACATCATGTCAGTTTCTGGCTTAGGGGAAGGTATGAATTTTGATCAAGGCCAAGATGTTCTTATGGAACTGCCACTGAACCAGATTCAGTGAGCTGCACAATTTGCTGATTCCCTAGGCTCTCAGGAACAAGCAAGCAGGTTCTAGGAGGTTGAATGTTTATATAAGCAATATTTGACTAATTCTGGACTTGCGTAAATAGGAATTTTACAAATAATCTACATGCACAGCAATGTAAAAAAAAATCATTAAACCTATATCTAGGTTTTGCATGGTATTCTCATCAACCTTCCATCCAAGAGGCTGATCTGTTCTTGGTTAACTGTAGCCCCAAATGCTCACAAATAATTTGCTGAACGCCACATGATACATTTTTATGAGAAAAGAAAGATCTACACACTGAACAGCATTTTCATGTTATTTTGCCTTTCCAGCATGTATGCATACCTCAAACACATGCACGCACGCATGCACGCACGCACAGTAGAGAAACAAAAACAGAGATGACTTTTGGTGTCAGTTATATCCATACATTGCAAAATTAATTTTGTCTGAAATCAATTTGACCTTTGTTAAGTTCTATGTGTTATGACATGGTACATTATATTTTATCTTTGTTTGCAGAGGTCTGTCTTCCATCTGCAAAACCTGGAATAAGTATAACACAAATTCACAGTCAATGATCACTGAATGGAAAGCGGGAAATTAGTTTGGAATTAAGAATGTATATGTTTTCATTTAAGGTTTTTAAAAAAGTGCAATAATAAAAAGCAAATCAATAGACAAAGGCATTAAGATCAGAGATGGGATGAAATAACCAAAAGTAACATTACACTTTTTAAAAAAGCAGTAAGTTTGCAGAATTTCTAAAATTCTTTCACCATAATTTGTGGGTTTATATTTTTCTTGTACATATTATGATTTCCTAATAATTATAGAAATGTCCTCTAATATGGAATAGAGGAATTACCCAGTATTTTAATATATAATAGATTTTAATTATATTTTTATCTCAGTAGTGGGTTATTTAGTTTTATTATTATTGGGGTACTTATAAGATGACGGTATCTATATTTTTATTGTTTTATTTACTGATTTTGTTGTGAGCCATCCAGAGACTCAGTGTGACTGGATAGCCTAAAAATATCCCCAATAGATAAATAAAATAGTTAATATTAACAAAAAACATTAGTCTGTTAGCAACTATTTACCATTGGGTAAAATCCCATTGGATTTAAAGTTAGTTCTACTTAGAGTAAACCCAGTGAAATAAGAGTTAGCAAAACCCAACTTAAGTTCTATTGATTTCAATAGGTCTACTCTAAGTAGAATTAACATTGGTTTTAACTCAACTTTTTAAACTGTTGGTATTTAGACAACAAAATATAAAAGGTCGAAATTTGGTAAAATATCATTAAGTCATCTAAAAAAGTCTTTCTGAACGATCACGCAAAAGGGAAGTTTCAGATCGTCAAAAGGGCATATATATACTTTTTCCCCACTGAATATTTCTGCATGTGCTAAACTTGCAGCATGGTTCTGGGGGAGATGGGGGAGAGGATGGCTGCAGAGAGCTGCTGAGCTGGGGAGTGGTGTTGTAAGAGGAAGCAGTACATCAGGCTCTGACAAAGGGCAGCAATCCTGAACAGTCTTCAGCTGAGTTTGTGCTTCCCTTACCCTCCCTTGCTGGAGCCTCTCTCTGTCTCTGTCTCTGTCACATACACACAGATCTAGTGAATACATGCAGGGCTCCTTCTCCCTTTCCAGCTCCTCCTGCTTCTAGCACGATTGCTTTTGTGTGCGACACAAATTCACTTTTTCCACATAGAAGAAACTGCACTACGTGCATTAGCATGCATCCAACAGTTGTAAATGGCTTTGCATAAAGACCATGACAGCCCCCTCTGATGAACAGAACGGGCTCTCACATCAGTCCCCCCTAGTGCAGTACCTAGCTGTGCTCCTGCAAAACGGCACGAAGTCCCTGGTTAAGAAGGACCAGGCCTTTATGTGGAACGAACGGCTTAATCGGGCACGCAGAAGGAGCTTCTATGCATCAAAACCTCATCCAAGCTTTCAGGACTGTGCAGGAGCTTTCCGTAATTGTAATCTTCTCCCGTATGAAACAAAGGTAGAAGAAATCCATCAGTGATTGTGCAACTAGTAATGAATGTGCTGTCCACTTTTTAGCGACCTCAGAGCCATGGAAAACAGCCATGTCACCCAGATGTCTGAGCAGCGCAGTGATGTGCTGAACTCCCCCTCCTCACAGCCATCCTCTCATTATGTACCTGTCAAGCTGGAAGAGTATGAAAGCTCAGGCTTCAGTGTGAAGAAGCTCCTCAGGAAGGCCAAGGAGAATTGCAAGTGTGACCAGCAGAGTATCACCAGCTTCTTTCGCAAGCTCTTTCCGGTAGTGCAGTGGCTTCCCCATTACAATGTCAAGGAGCAACTGCTTGGCGACGTTATCTCTGGCTTACTGGTGGGAATAGTCGCCATCCCACAGTCCATCTCTTACGCCATCCTAGCTAACCAGGCTCCCGTTTATGGACTCTACACCAACTTCTTCTGTACTATTATCTACTTCATGATGGCAACCTCACATCACAATTGTGTTGGTTCTTTTGGAGTTCTGTGCCTGATGATCGGGGAATCAGTAAACCGGCAGCTGAAGTTAGCTGGATACGAGTCAGAGACGGGGGCTGACTTACTGGCAAACGCCACATTGAATGGGTCAGTGACCTGCAACAAAGAGTGTTATGCCATCACCGTGGCAACGGCTCTAACGTTTCTGGTTGGGCTTTACCAGGTAAGATAACTTACTGTCCTTGCTTAGGTATTACTCTCGGCTTGCTTGTCCATCCAGGAACACCCTGAACAGAAACTTCCCCTTGCCATTTAGGCCCTGCCCTTCCCACTCTCACTGCAAGGGGACTTTTGCAAAGTCTTCAGGCGCACCAGTGGAAGCTCCAAGGAAGCCTGGCTGCAGTGGGGATGGGGTGGTGTGTGTGCAAGCACATGCTGGGGCCAATAGTCCGGGGCTGTATTGGGGCCTGGGAAATCACACAGGAACTGCCTGCTAACCATGGGCCACCTTTCCACTGCTGGCACATGGGCCCCAGTGTGCTTGCCCTGCATCAGTTTAGCCTAAAGCTCCCCTGCTCCCAGATAGGCCACTGCTTTCTATCATCTCAGACCCTTGGCCTAACTCGCTCAGCATTAAGCACATACGAGGAATCACCCTGGATCAGACCAAAGGCCTATGTGGCCCAGCATTGTGCTCCCACCAGGGCCACCCCAGTGCCTATGAGAGGCTCATGAGGGACTTGGATGCTAGTTCCCATGTTTCCAACACTGTCCCTGACTGGCAGCAGCTTTCCAGGGATTCAGCCGGGAGCTTTTTCCCAGCCCTGCCTGGAACTGTGGGAGACTGAGCCTGAACCTCGTTGCATGTCAAACGTGTGCTTGGATGGCTGTGCATAATATTTCTTTATTGAGCTGTGTTTTAACCCAGCTTCCCATGTAGCTGTAGCTTCCCACATAATACAAATATGGTTCTCCAGCTCATAACAACATCCATTTGGAAGTAATGGAAAACATAGGCCAGTGGCTCTCTTCTTTGTGCTCATGGTGCCTGGATGCATGATCCACTGACTCATCTTGCTTTTCCTTTCAGATACTTCTGGGGGTTTTCCAGCTGGGCTTCCTATCCGTATACCTCTCGGAACCACTCCTGAGTGGCTTTGTGACTGGGTCCTCTCTTACCATCCTCACTTCCCAAATGAATCTCTTACTGGGAGTGAAAATCCCTCGCCATGATGGAGTGGGGTCTCTTATTTTGACATGGGTGGACATCTTCAGATACATTGACAAGACCAACATCTGTGACCTAGTCACCAGTTTGATTGCTTTGGTCCTCATAGTACCAGTAAAGGAGATCAACAACTACTTTAGGGATAAAATGAAGGCTCCATTTCCCATAGAACTCCTGGTGGTCATTGCAGCTACTCTGCTGTCCCATTTCTTTAACTTCAATGCCAGATACAAATCTAAGATCTGTGGTACTATCCCCACTGGTTTCATGCAACCTGCTGCTCCAGATCTGAACCTTTTGTCAAGTTTGGCACTTGATGCTCTGCCCATTGCTATAATTGGCTTTGCAATGACTGTCTCACTTGCAGAAATATTTGGCAGGAAGCATGGCTACACGGTCCGGGCCAACCAGGAGATGATTGCCATTGGCATGGGAAATTTGGTTCCATCTTTCTTTTACTGCTTTGCTTCTTGTGCTGCCTTGACAAAGACCTTGCTGAAGGAATCCACAGGATGTCATACCCAGATATCAAGCTTGGTATCTTCAGCTGTTTTGCTCTTGGTGTTGTTGTGGATTGCTCCACTCTTCTATTCACTGCAAACCTGTATATTGGGGGTAGTTACCATTGTTAACCTCAGGGGGGCCTTGCGGAAGTTTGCCGACACTCCCAAGATGTGGCGGATCAGTAAGATGGACACTGTGGTCTGGTGGGTCACCATGCTGTCCTCATCACTGATCTCTACAGAGCTGGGCCTTTTGGTTGGGGTCTGCTTTGCTCTCCTCTGCATAATCTTCCGCACCCAGAGGCCCCGAGCGACCCTTCTAGGGAAGGTAAATGATTCAGATATCTATGAGGACCAGTTCACTTACAAGAAAATCAGCAGTATTGAGAACATTAAGATCTTCCGCTTTGATACCTCACTTTACTATGCAAACAAGGACTATTTCAAAACCTCACTCTTCGAAAGAACAGGAGTCAATCCTTCCCTAGTTGCTGCCATACAGAAAAAATCTGAAGCAAAAGCAAAGGTGATCCTAGACAAAGATGAAAACTGCTTTTCATCCAAGTTTAACTGCCTGAAGGTCACCAAGAGAAGAGCCACCAAGACTTCGGCAGAGGTTTGTTGCCCACCTGTAGACATGCATACCTTAATAATCGACTGTGGTGCAATGCAATTTCTGGATAGTGTGGGCCTAGGTGTGCTGAAGGAGACCCGCCAGGATTACAAGAACATTGGTGTCCAGGTCCTTTTGGCCAATTGCAACCCGTCTATCCGACACCTACTCCAGGTAGGTGGCTGGCTCACTGGGATGGAAGATTCAGAGCTGCTGTCCTTCCACAGTATACATGCCGCGGTGCAGTTTGCCGAGAAACAGTCCCAAGCTCAACCGATGGAGAGTGAGATGACAAAGGGTGCTTTTCTCAGCCCAGAAGCCACAGATCTCTCAGTAGAATCTAGTCTGGGTGGAGCACTGTAGGCCTGGACAGAAAAGGAAATGTGTTTAATTATTTTAAGGAGAGTGAACATCAGTCTGGCATTGAAATTCCAGTTTTTGCTGGCCAAACTGGAGGTCTTTGCATTCAAGAGAGTTGTTATCATCTGGTTGGGTACAGAAATAGTGTTCATTTTTGTTTTTGTTTGTTTGTTTTTTTTGCCCTGGAGATAGAGGGATAAGAGAAGTTTCACCAGCTTAATATCTCAGAGCCAACCACTATTAAAGTTTTAGGAACAGGGCAAGAAACTAAAATGGCAACCTTAAAAATAGGCATTTAATTAATTATATTGCCATCCTACAAGGAGGTTGAGGCAGCAGTCTAAAAATAGGCTGAGTCAGTGATATCCTGATTTCTAGAGATATTGGAAGACACATGCAGCTATCTGAGGAGGGATCTGTTGCTAATGTTGAAATGGCAATTGATCATGTGGTTCTGAATCTAGGTGGGAGCTACTCCTTCTGAGTTCTATTCCAAGAAAAGAGCATGCTCCATATAAATCCAAAATTGACACACCTCAGATGAGAACTTACCTGATCTTTTGCATAGTGTGCAGTTTTTAGTGTACAGCTAAAGGAAATATTCAGAGATGTGATCTCCCATCTCACAGATGCACAGTGACTGGGTTCAGACAACACAGTAACCCACAGTCAAGGGTTGAGTGTGGGTTGTTGCTGAAACATGGTTTATTTGAACCCGCCTGTGCTAAAAGCCATGACTTATTAACCACAAGCAACCCATGAAGAGAAACCACAGTTTGTTGCTAGGTTGTGAACTGTGGGACAGTCACCATGGTTTATCTTAGCCAGGTTCAGACAACACATTGACCCATGGTTCCACAACAACCCACACTCAAGTCTGTCCTCACCTATGGAATGTCGGCTATTATGTTGTCTGAACCCAGTCAAATCTGGTACAACTTATTCTACCCTCTTATTCCACCATGTGTGGATTAGGCAGGGCCTGCCTTTGAGAACTAAGCAGGGATCTCAAGTAGGATTTCTCCATTCATATCTGACCTTCCAGTCCCATGGTTCCCTGACTCTCCGAATGCAAATAGAAAGGACCCAAAGGAACTGAGGCGATGGAGATAGGAGAAAAAATATGTACAGTCCAGCTATGACTGTGAGTGTTTTCCTAGAATATGATTTAGCAAATGAGCAGAGAGCAAAATGCAGTGCCCACATCCCTTGAGCACATGCATTGCGTTGGTCAGGGTTCGGCAACTTGGTACCTTCCAGATATTTTGGACTTACACCCACCCCGGGGGCCAGGGGTTGTAGGAATGACCCAAGTCATCCAGAGGGCACTGGGCTGCCTCTCATGGCATGGGGTGTGGGTTGCAGGCCCGTCCTTGGTGAGCTCTGCGCCACCCTCACTTGCCCTGCAATGCACATCATTCAAACTCCACAGGGACCAGCACAAGGTGGTGTACGGTTGCCAAAGTGGCTTGCAGGTCTAAGGAGCGGAAGAAGAGCGTCAGAGTCTGGATGGGAAGGAGGGCCAATTACATGAAAGGAACTAATCCAGTAATATTTCTCGGTGGGGGAAAAGAGGCGGGTGAGAGATCAGAATTAAATTCAGAGCACACGGTGAATCTTCGGATTACAAAAATCAGAAAGCTTTAGTGATCTGATGTATCTGTTTGGAGATATTCATTTTCTTTTTGCTTAAAGGGGTTCTTTTGCTTTCTCTAAAGTTCTAATTATTAGCAGTTATTTTCCTGGAAATGCACTGCTCCTTCACCCATTTTATACATCTTTTTCTTAATTTCTAATGAAAAATAAAGCATTTTACTTGTCTTTGTGTTTCATTTTTATTTGTTTCTTATGTTGATATTCCTCCAAGGAAGTTCAGCTCAGGTGTGCGGCCACATTTTCTGTTTTCAATGGCTTTGCAAGGCAGATTTGCTGAGTGAGCTTTATGGCTGAATGAGGATTTGATGTTCAGATGGAAGTGGGGTAGGCAGCAAGATGGTGGAGTGGGGAATTATCTGTGCTTTGGGGAAAATCACAGAACTGTACAACTGGAAGTGAACCTAGAGATGATCACACCCAACTTGCTGCTGTTGGGAAAATTTGGGTAAATCCTGTCTGAAGAGCATTACTCATGTGTGCCTTTGCATTGTGGGATCAAATCCTGTCCTCCTTCTCAAAA